CCTGGGGCCGGTCTGACAGCTCCTGTGATCCCGGCGGCCGTGTGTGAGCTGTGCGGCCGCACATAGCCCCATGGGAGCAGGGGGAGCCAGGCGGCCGGCTCACACATGGCCACCCGGGATCATTTAAAAAAATAATAATAATAAATTTGCGGCGGGGGCGGAGCTTACTGTGCAGCGGGGCGGGGCTTAGCGTGCGGCGGAGGCGGAGCTTACTGTGCGGCGGGGGCGGCTAATTGCAGCATGGGAAGCAGGAAGGAGTCCCTGCTTCCCCAACAACAAGCCTCCAGGAGCTCCAAGCAGGAGGGAAGAAGGAGGTCAGTGTGTCTGTGTGAGTGTGTGACTGTGTGTGTGTGTGTAACTGTCTGCCTGTGTGTGTGGCTGTCTGCCTGTGTGTGTGGCTGTCTGCCTGTGTGTGTGTGTGACTGTCTGCCTGTGTGTGTGTGGCTGTCTGCCTGTCTGTATGTGTGGATGTTTGCCTCGGTGTCAGTGACTGTCTGCCTCTGTGTTTGTGTGCGCACCTGCTAGTGAGGGAGCCTCTGTGTGTGTGCCTGCTAGTGAGTTTGTGTGTGTGTGTGTGTGTGTGTGCCTGCTAGTGAGTGAGCTTGTATGTGTGTCAGTGAGCTTGTCTGTAGGGATCATATGTGTGTGTGTTAGTGAGCTCTTGTCTGTAAGGAGCATGGGTGTGATCGTGGGCTTGTCTGTAGTGAGCGTGTGCGTCAGTGAGCTTGTCTGTAGTGAGCGTGTGTGTCAGTGAGCTTGTCTGTAGTGACCATATGTGTCAGTGAGCTTATCTGTAGTGAGCGTGTGTCAGTGAGCTTGTCTGTAGTGACCATATGTGTCAGTGAGCTTGTCTGTAGTGAGCGTGTGTGTCAGTGAGCTTGTCTGTAGTGAGCATGTGTGTGTCAGTGAGCTTGTCTGTAGTGAATCTGTGTGTTAGTGAGCTCTTCTGTAGGGCACATGTGTGTGTCAATGGGCTTGTCTGTAGGGAGAGTGTGTGCGCATCAGTGAGCTTGTCTGTAGTGAGCATGTGTGTGTGACAGTGAGCCTGTCTGTAGTAAGTTTGTGTGTGTATCAGATTTTGTCTGTACTAAATTTGTGTGTGTGCCTGTAACCTTGTCTGTGTTTGTCATTGAGATTGTCTGCCAATGAGCCTATTTGTGTGCATCAGTAAGATTGTCTGTGTCTGTGTGTGAGTATGCTTTACTGTATAATTTAATTACCCTGAACGAAGAAATGTATCAATAATATATATATATATATATATATATATATATATATATATATATATATATATATATATATATATATATATATATATACACACACATTAAAGGACCACTTTAGGCACCCAGACCACTTCAGCTTAATGAAGTGGTCTGGGTGCCTGGTCCAGCTAGGGTTAACCCATTTTTTCATAAACATAGCAGTTTCAGAGCGCTATGTTTATGAATGGGTTAAGCCTTCCTCTATTTCCTCTAGTGGATGTCTCATTGACAGCCTCTAGAGGCGCTTGCGTGCTTCTCACTGTGATTCTCACTGCTCTTGCTGCGCGTGCGCATTCAACCCAGGAGGAGGAACGGAGGAGGAGAGAAGGAGGAGAGCTCCCCGCCCCGAGCGCTGGAAAAAGGTAAGTTTTTACCCCTTTTCCCCCTTCCAGAGCCGGGCGGGAGGGGGACCCTGAGGGTGGGGGCACCCTCAGGGCACTATAGTGGTCCTTTAATATATAACACCCTACATAGCACAATGACTTATGGGGCTGGCATAGATTTTTTTCCAGGGCTGCTTCGTATCCCCAGTCCGGCCCTGTTGGTCATCCATTGTCAGCATCTTATGCTTGCTGATGACCGACATAACTGCACAGATTTGACATTAACCAGCCCAGAATGCTTGTTCCGGTTTGGCTAATGATACTTCCAGAGGTGAATTTACATCTCCAACAGCTATGTGCTTTAACAGAGTATGTGCAACGTTTCAAACTGAAATGCTGCATATACAGACTCTAAGCACCACCACCACTTCAAGTTAGTGAAGTGGTTTTGATGCTGGTAGTAATCCTTTAAAATGACATGCTATATTCAGCCTGCAAATAATTGGGAAAATGAATACCTGCCTGAAAATTGTTTTGATGGCAATTTCAGGAAATACAAGATGATGTCCTTAAATGCTTAGCATAGCATTCCCACAATCCTTAGCATTTAACCAACAATTGTTGGATGACATATCTAGCATTATGTAAGAATTTAATAAGCAGGGCCGGACTGGCCCACCGGGATACCGGGAAATTTCCCGGTGGGCCGCGGCACCTGGGGCCGGTCTGACAGCTCCTGTGATCCCGGCGGCCGTGTGTGAGCTGTGCGGCCGCACATAGCCCCATGGGAGCAGGGGGAGCCAGGCGGCCGGCTCACACATGGCCACCCGGGATCATTTAAAAAAAAAAAAAAAAATTGCGGCGGGGGCGGAGCTTACTGTGCGGCGGGGCGGGGTTTAGCGTGCGGCGGAGGCGGAGCTTACTGTGTGGCGGGGGCGGCTAATTGCAGCATGGGAAGCAGGAAGGAGTCCCTGCTTCCCCAACAACAAGCCTCCAGGAGCTCCAAGCAGGAGGGAAGAAGGAGGTCAGTGTGTCTGTGTGAGTGTGTGACTGTGTGTGTGTGTGTAACTGTCTGCCTGTGTGTGTGGCTGTCTGCCTGTGTGTGTGGCTGTCTGCCTGTGTGTGTGTGTGACTGTCTGCCTGTGTGTGTGTGGCTGTCTGCCTGTCTGTATGTGTGGATGTTTGCCTCGGTGTCAGTGACTGTCTGCCTCTGTGTGTGTGTGCGCACCTGCTAGTGAGGGAGCCTCTGTGTGTGTGTGCCTGCTAGTGAGTTTGTGTGTGTGTGCCTGCTAGTGAGTGAGCTTGTATGTGTATCAGTGAGCTTGTCTGTAGGGATCATATGTGTGTGTGTTAGTGAGCTCTTGTCTGTAAGGAGTATGGGTGTGATCGTGGGCTTGTCTGTAGTGAGCGTGTGTGTCAGTTAGCTTGTCTGTAGTGAGCGTGTGTGTCAGTGAGCGTGTGTGTCAGTGAGCTTGTCTGTAGTGACCATATGTATCAGTGAGCTTGTCTGTAGTGAGCGTGTGTGTCAGTGAGCTTGTCTGTAGTGACCATATGTGTCAGTGAGCTTGTCTGTAGTGAGCATGTGTGTGTCAGTGAGCTTGTCTGTAGTGAATCTGTGTTAGTGAGCTCTTCTGTAGGGAGCATGTGTGTGTCAATGGGCTTGTCTGTAGTGAGCGTGTGTGTGTGACAGTGAGCTTGTCTGTAGTAAGCTTGTGTGTGTATCAGAGTTTGTCTGTCCTAAATTTGTGTGTCTGCCAGTAACCTTGTCTGTGTGTGTCATTGAGATTGTCTGTCAATGAGCCTATTTGTGTGCATCAGTAAGATTATCTGTGTCTGTGTGTGAGTATGCTTTACTGTATAATTTAATTACCCTGAAAGGACTAATATTGTGAATTAGAAGAAGAAATGTATCAATAATATATATATATATATATACATACATACATTAAAGGACCACTTTAGGCACCCAGACCACTTCAGCTTAATGAAATGGTCTGGGTGCCTGGTCCAGCTAGGGTTAACCCATTTTTTCATAAACATAGCAGTTTCAGAGCGCTATGTTTATGAATGAGTTAAGCCTTCCTCTATTTCCTCTAGTGGCTGTCTCATTGACAGCCGCTAGAGGTGCTTGCGTGCTTCTCACTGTGATTTTCACAGTGAGAGCACGCCAGCGTCCATAGGAAAGCACTGTAAATGCTTTCCTATGTGACCGGCTGAATGCGCGCGCAGCTCTTGCCGCGCGTGCGCATTCAACCCAGGAGGAGGAACGGAGGAGGAGAGAAGGAGGAAAGCTCCCTGCCCAGCGCTGGAAAAAGGTAAGTTTTTACCCCTTTCACCCTTCCAGAGCCGGGCGGAAGGGGGACCCTGAGGGTGGGGGCACCCTCAGGGCACTATAGTGGTCCTTTAATATATAACACCCTACATAGCACAATGACTTATGGGGCTGGCATAGATTTTTTTCCAGGGCTGCTTCGTATCCCCAGTCCGGCCCTGTTAATAAGTTTATAATAGTTGCATCAACCGAGGCATAGAAGTCTAAGCTATAAACTAAATACACAAGTAAACATTACCCATTAGCTGAACAATTGGGTAGTGAAGACATTGTGTGAAATAAAATATAATGTATTTTTGCATATCAAGAGGACCCTTGATAAACTATCACTGGAAAGTCCAGTGTTCATACTGGAAATTACCAGCAGGGGTGAGTTTAAAGAGACACTGTAGGCACCAATACCACTCCATCTCATTGAAGTGGTCTGCGTGCACTGTCCCTGTCATTTTAGCGAGCAGCTGCAATCATGGTAGGGTTAATACCGCCTCTAATGACTATCTACCGGACAGTCACTAGAGGCGCTTATTGCCGTTTCATGAAGTTGACTCTGTGAATCGAAGCTGGATGTCCTCACACTTTGCGTGAGGGTGTCCAGTATCTTCTAATCCCCCATAGGAAAGCATTGGGTCAATGCTTTCCTACGGGGAAGGCCTAATGCACATTTGGCTGACGTTGGAGGAGGAGACATCAGAGCTAGAATCAGGTAGGTGTAAAAAGTTTTTTAACCTTTTGCTTGCTGCCTGGGGAGGGGGGCACAAGGTAGGCCGGAGGCAGAGGGGCACAGTGTTAGGAATACAGCTGTATATTCATAACACAATAAGGTTCCTTTAACAAATCTGTATTACATCTTCATATGATTAAAAAAAAAAACAACAACAAATAAATGAATGCACATAGACACTGTAATTAACAAGCAGAAGTAATAAAAATCATAAAGAACACTTTATCCCTTAGGATACAAATGTAAGCTGTCTGTGATCTTCAGCAAAGAAAAGCATCTGCTATGGAATGATAAGTAATTTATGTATCAGCCTGCTTGCAAGCTGATAGAATTCATTATTGTGAAGTATACATGACACATCAGTGTGAAGTCAGTAAATGGTGAAATCTGACTGACTGCAATTTGCTTTCCCAACTAGCATTGGTCCTTTTCACCTTGAATGTATCACTTGTACTGTCACCTTTATACAAGTTTGCTTTGATTAATAGAGAATAATAATTTGAACCCACCAAATTTGCTTTTTAATTGGAACAAGCATGGAATACATGATCACATTGACTTTCAAAATAAATAAACAAACAAACGAATACATTTAATTAGACATAAATAATTAGATATTAGCTAATTACATGGTGATTCACCAAAGTGAGAATTCAAAGAGAATTTAAAATTTTAGGCCAAAGTAACAATATTAAAAGCATTTTTCTAGTTTAGCTATTTTGGCCTTAAATTTGAAATTCACTTTGAATTCCCACTTTAGTAATAACTCTGTAAGTGATGGCTGGTCCATAGTGATGGCTCATCTATTTAGGGTAAGTATCTGCTACAATGATTTACAATGATGAGGGTAGAAGAAATCTTGTTGAATCTATTAAAATGATATAAAAGGTTTAGGTGTCAATATGGCTTTGGAGTGGATCAGGGAAATTGGAAAACCACTTTTATCTAAGCATTTTAAATATGCCATAGAATGTTACTATTTGGAATATTTAGAAAATTGGGCAGACTAGATGGGCCGAATGGTTCTTATCTGCCGTCACATTCCATGTTTCTATAAACAGCCAGTGAGCCCGTTATAACGTACAGAACACCCAGTCACACAGTCATGTTCCTGCTTCCCTATACTTCCAGGGGAATTCTTGACTCAAGTCCTGACCCAATAACAGACAAACACATGTCGTTTGGGTACGGTTATAATTTTCAGTAGGTGGCTACCACAAACTGTCTCCAAGAGCCTTGTTTTCTGGTGCACTCCAACCCAGTGTTAATTTTGGCAGCAAATTTCAATTTAGTTTTAGTCCTAGTCTTTTGACTAAAAATCCATTTTAGTTTTAGTTGTATTTTAGTCTTCTGAATTGTTTTTGTTTTAGTCGTATTTTAGTCGACCAGATCTTGAGTAGATTTTAGTTGACACAATTAAAATTTAATGGGTTTAGTTTTAAGCCTCTATCTCTTTTGTCTATTTCCCAGCCCCACTGTGTCTTTGGGTCCTCACAGTTTCTCTAGGTGTCTCTCTTCCAAACCCTGGTCTGTCTGTTTTGCCCCTTCCACGGCCCCTCTGTGTCTCTTTGTGTCCTTCCAACCCCTCTAGGTGTCTCTCTCTCTCAAGCCCTGGTCTGTCTCTTTGCCCCTTCCACAGCCCCTCCGTGCAGTGTTAATTTTGGCGGCAAATTTCAATTTAGTTTTAGTCATAGTCTTTTGACTAAAAAGCCATTTTAGTTTTAGTCATATTTTAGTCATCTGAATTGTTTTAGTTTTAGTCGACGAGTGAAGCAACATGTACAAAGATACCACAAGGCTGAGGGAAGAAGCAGAATAAGAAAGTACTAGGGCAGGCAGTAGGTCCACTGATGCTGTATGTGACTCTCTGCAGTTGTCACAGCCTACTACCAGCACTGCTTCCTCCAGTACTACTACCACTAGCCTCAGACAGAGCAGAGGGGATGGTAAGGATGGCACCAGTAGTCAACAGATACAGGTTGAACAGGAACAGCCAGTCCCCTCATCATCTGGTAAATTTAAAAAGAAAAAAATAGAACATACAGTGTGCAGCTGTAGTTTATCGCATAAGTGAACCTTGCCTACACTGAGTGTGGCAGGTCTTTTTTTGGAGAAAAAAAAATTCCAAAAACTCTGCCAATTACCTCTGCAGACTCACTTGGGAGAAACTGATAGGACTGTTTTATTCCACAACAAAGAGCGGTCACTGGGCAACTGATGACCTATTTATCCCTTCCACCCTGAGAAGAACACATCTTTCCCACACATCTACTGCAGTCCATAGTCCGCCCTTTTTGAAAAATCCCCTGTGTGGCATTGAAACGACTCCTGCTGGTGCTGGAGCCCAGTTTTATTTTTGTTGTGTGAGAAAACTTTGGTCTTATCTGGATGGAAGGGGTGAGTGGGTAGTTAATTTGCCACTGAGTTTTTCCTTTCATTTTGATAAAGATTACAAACCATCATTCTAAAACTAAGTTCTCTCACTTCCTACTTAATCCAGAGTTATTATAGTGTTGTCAACTAAATTGGCATTGCAAAAATGCCTGATGTTGTGCAGCTATTAGGCCAGGCAATATTGTAGCTGTTTTTGCATGTCAGCCTAGTCATAGCCCCCTTTTTTCTGCTGTTCTGGCTTGCTACATATTTTCTTTTACCAAAATTCAGCTGAAACGAATAGTGACACGAAATACATTCTGTCGGCCCCCAATAATTTTTTCTGCAAAAGTACTCCATTTGCATTGTGTGCCCTCCTCATTTGCACTGCGAGCCCTGACTGGCTCTAAAGTGAACTGAATTGTGATGTCACTTGCTAATTATTTAATATACATTTTAAAAGAAAACAAAGCATTCCATAAAATGAAATTTAACACAAGTTTATATAGCTGATTGTCAATGTTTTATTCAAATGCTTGATTTCCAAAGAAGTGACAATTCCAAATGAATTGCTTATACGTCAGGCATTTGACTAACTTAGAAAATAACAAATGCACGGACAACACCTTAGATATTTGAGTATGTCAAATACAAGTTCTGGTGACAGTACACAGTGTATAATTATTCCTAATGCTTAGCATTCTCATTAAGTGACAGCAGGGGGCAGAGTATGTTATAAACGAGAACTATACAGCTCTTCTTAAAGTCAACAACAAATTAATTTGCAGAGAGCTTTCTAATTATGCACTCTGATTACATTATAAAAGTCAATGCTCCCGGTTGGTGAAATTATAAAGTAATTTTTAATTGTTTTTAAAGTGTGTAGTTATGAAACATCTATGGCTTCTGTTTTCATTTTGTTGAAGAGTTATATAAATTACTTAGCTACTTAACGGTTATTCAGTAAGGAGAATAACCTATTTACTAAACTCTGACGTGGCCTGTAAATTGTAAAGTTGGAAGAAAATACTTGAATTTGACCCAATTTGTCAATTAAGAAAGGAAATTGCTCACACCCACTTTACCAAGAAATATCCA